CTTTTATCTCTATTAACATATATTTATTTATCTATATATGTAGGTATATTGTATGTATATGTGTATGTATGTGTAGGTATATGCATAGATGTAGGTATATATTTATGTATATGTATATGTGTATTTGTACGATAAAATATAATGTAATTAATTTAATATTGGCTGTTTAAAAATTGTACACTGCTATATCCGCTGACATTGATGCTCCTTTCCACTTTGGGTGTTGCTGGAAGAAAACTCTATCAGAGTTAAGCTCGCCTTTGTACTTTTGTTTACCTCTGTCATATTTTTATAACTAATGTGTACAATAAAGTATTAAATAAATAAATAAATAAAAATATACGAACAAGAGGTATTTCAAATTTGTTTTTTTTAAAGAGATAAAATTTAAAGGTAACTACGCCTATGCTAGTGGTACATCTATGTTGTTGGACTATCAGTGAGGGATTCAGGTCAGTTGATGAACTGCTATAAATTTATTAAGAAATAATCATAGTTCTCAGAGGGAACCGTGTGACGGTTGACATGACGGGACAGTAGAGAGTGCAAAGGTCTTTAGCCTTACATATAACTCTTGCTTCATCCACTTTCATAACATGTCATAAAAAATATTAAACGAATATTACGACTACAATCTCTAATGGGGTAGTAAGAGGCTGTTTTTCTCGAGGTAAGGGATTGTTAGTAATGGATACTAGCAGCTTCATTACTAGCAATATAACCTAGAAGGTTGACCTCCACGTGCTTTCCCTTGGAAACCATCGTGCTTGCTTTTTTCATCCTCACCTATCATCTCTCAATAGTACTTCGCCAGCGTATACCGTTAGCGCAAGTGGGGTTACCATTCTGTTATCACACATTTCAAAACTGTTTCCCTGGTGGTGAATATGACAATTCGATCACAGATAATGTTTTTTTTCAATGAGCTAGTAAACAAGTAAATATAAAGATTTATTCTACTCTATTTTATCCTATCCTATCTTATAATATCCTATTCTTAAGAGGTGTAAATGGAATGGTAATCCTGACTGAAATTCAGATCAGTGGACTCATCATGACGAATTTACCAGAAGTAAACATGATACGGCGGCTGCGAGGAGGTCGACCTTGCAGAGTTTTTTTTTTTATACAACTTAGAATGGCAAACAAGCTGACGGCCCACCTGATGGAAAGTGGTAACCGTCGCCTATAGACATGAGCAGTACTATGGACATAACAGAATATACTGTTTCGCTCATGATACCCCCCATGCTTTGTCATTTCTAAGGACTCAGATGTTATTCCTCTGTACCCAGTAAATTCACGCCGTATCCCACCCTTCAAACCGAAACACAGCCATGCAAACACAACTGCTTCACGGTAGAAACACGAATGGGACAGAGGTACGCAAGCAATCGACGGAGACAAGGGTTCCTATTAGATAGAATGATAAATTAATATTTTATATATTAGCTTTAATATTATAGTTTAAAATTTTTGATATCTCGGGCGATATCACTGTTATTTCATAGGGATCTCTAATATTTTTGAAATTAGTATACAGCTTATATTATTCGCTGATAATAGGTGAAATAATTTTTAAAATCGATTTAGTAGTTTTTGAGTTTTTTTATACTCGTAAAACACAAAAAGTTTTTACTTTTATACTTTTATTTTATTATATACTATTTTTGTATTTTTATTACATATTACTTTAGGAGTATAGACTGGGCAGCGCCCTCTAGTTATCTGCTTGGACAAATGGCCGTATATTTGTCTGGACATCTCATTTCACGTGAAATCTTTGCGGCCACACGTCCGACAGTAATGGTGACCAATTAATCAGAGTTAGCCAGTGTCAACCTGTAATTATATGGACGTTGGTATAAATTGATATTATCCAAATATTTTTTGGTTGTGAAAAGGTTCTGAGCTACTTTATTAGTTAATTTATAACGATTTTTGATTTATTTTTCTTTTTTTTTTGTAAAAATGTTCACTTTTGTTGGTAGGAATTTGATAACAGAATGATTTTTCTGAGGATGTTGACAGATTTTATTCTTTTTAACCGACTTTAAAAAAGCAGGAGACTCCTAATTCGGGTGTATTTGTTTTTATATTTGAAACCTTTAATTTCGTCACTTATAAACCGAATTGGAAATTTCTTTTTTTTTGTCTAAAAGGATATATTTTCACATTGGTCTCATAGCAATTTTATCGAATTCGGTTTAGTAGTTTAGTTTTTAAGTCAATACAATTGGTTTTGCCACGATTGAAGTTGTTTTTTTTTATGGATTCCAAAAATAAATTATTATCAAAGAATCATGGTTTGTAAGTCGAATGACTAGAAATTTTAAGTACATATATTATAACATATAACAATAGAGAATAGAAGACGAAAAATGATTGACTATCATATACGACATGACGATTTTTTAAAGAGCATACTAAAATGAAAAATAGGGAGCAAAAGCGGAAGAGGAAGACCGAGGAATAACTACATTGGACAGATAAAGGAAACACTAGGTGTCATGTTGTATAAGGAGGTCAAAGATATGGCCTGGGATAGAGCTGGCTGGAAGATGCAAGAATTAGTTGCACCGACAAGAGGAAACTCTTAAATGAAAAGAAAGATATTATAATATAATAATTTGACAGTTGGACGCGTTGTGTTAGTATTGTCTTGAAATCTTTAGTAATTTTAACCCATAAAATGTACAAACTCACGGGCAAAAAACTCCCCTGAATGAATGGTTTATGTTCAATTCACCACGTAACTACAGATAACAGGAATTGTTGTTATGACAACTGTTGTAATTATTCGTCTCTGTTTGTTATCAAGTTAATTATGTAACGAAATAAATCTCGTTATCGTAGATCAGTTTATCGCAGCCTCCGCTCTCCATTGTTCCAGGCCAGTGTTTCTCAAAGATGTCAGGCTTGTTCATTCGCCCCTTCTGGGCGTAAGACGTTTGTACTCGAAATCAATTAAGAACAAAAGCAGGCATTGTTTTAAATGAGAATATTACTAAATTCTTGAGCAATTAATTAGTGAGTAAAAGTCGATATTAACGTTTAATTTATTTACTTACAAATTCAATTATTGAAGAAGCGACTTTAATGTAGAGTGAATGAAAAATGTTTTAAAAACAATTTGTTGTAGATTAACGGATTCACATTCAAAAATGGATATCCCATTTGAAAAGTTCAGTTCCTTAATTGACGTGACTGAGAATCAAATTTGGTTTTTTGTTAATATGAACAATGATTTTTTTTTATACAACTAAGAATGGCAAACAAGCTGACGGCCCACCTGATGGAAAGTGGTAACCGTCGCCTATAGACATGAGCAGTACCATGGACATAACAGAGTATACTGTTTCGCCCATGATACCCCCCCCATGCGTTGCCATTCCTGAGGAATCCCTGTAAATTCACGCCATATCCCACCTTTCAATCCGAAACACAGCCATGCAGACACAACTGCTTCACGGTTGAAACACGAATGGGACAGAGGTACCCAAGCAATCGACTTTTGTACAAAGTCTCCCTCTGGTAGAATGTGCTGTGTGTGTATATATATATATATATATATATATATATATATATATATATATATATATATATATATATAAACTTATTTTTAAAAGTCGCTTAAAAATAACACTTGCTATACTACAACTCTGATATAAGAGTTAGACACGATAATTCATGGAGACAAGAAGCCACTAAAGTAGATAAGCATTGTGCTGCACGAGAGTTAAATCAAGGCAATGGTGTAACGGCCACCTGGATAGCTCTCAGACGTCAGACACGACCATTCCACATAATATAAAGCCCTACAAGCCGGTCCAGACATGGTCTGAATAATTTAGACCGGTACCGATGAGAGGGATTTGGACACTAGCATGTAGCTGAGCCAACATGTGTTACTATGATAGAGAGTTTAGGGTTGTCACATTGCTGAATGTGTATTATTTAGTAATGCATGCTGTGAACATCGATTGTTTAGCACGAAATGTTTTAATATGTAAAAGTTTATAAAAATGTAGGTAGGTATTATATGTATTTATAGTGTATGTATTTATGTTTACATACAATATTACAATATTTTATTATATATTTTAATATTTTATTTAACTGTATATTTGTTTATGTATTAATAGTTGTAGCACTTCAGCTGCCCGCTAACGAAATGCTTTCTTACTGTACTGGGTTGACTGGAAGAGACCTCTGTCAGAGATAGGTCCACCCTTGCTCACAACATTTATAAATACATTATTTTATATGTAACTTACAAGTGCAATAAAGAATATATGTTATTAGATTGAAAAAGAATTCAGCTCTTAAATTTTCTGTCATAATCATCCATCGTATCAGCCTTTAACTATTCACCGCTGCAAATAAGCCTTCCCCTTGGAGGGGTTTGTCAGTAGTTACCACGTTTGGCAGGCGGATTGGCAACCGCAGTTAGGCTTTAGAGATGTTTTAAAAGGGACGCTGCTGCCCATCCCCCGCCCTCTCTTAGTTGCCTCTTACGACACCCATGGAAAAGGAAGGTGTAGTCTATTCTATGCCGGGACCACACGGTAAATTTACTATACCGCAGATTAATACTTTGTATGTATGAAATTCTTGCTAATATTATAAATTCGTGAGTTTATTTGTTACCTTATAGCGTCTTAACTGCTTCACCAATCACTACAAAATTTGGTATACACGTACTACATGGGATGGAAAATGTAATACTTTTACTATTTATTCTGGTTAGTAAATAGAACCGGCTCACGCGGGTAAAGTTGCGGATAAAAGCTAGTATAAGTGAAGGTTTGTTACTTAATCGCAATTAATTACGAGCATTAAATTCAAAGCATACCTGTTTGAAATTCGAAGCATCAGAATTTATCCCATCATTAAAAATGCTTTGAGTACTCAAAATCTGCTTGATGTTTTTAAGAGATCATAATAAACATAAGGGTTACAATAAAAATATAAGATTTTGCAGGTAAAGCAGGATGTAACACATAATTCATATTTAAAACAATATTACAATAAAATAAATATACGAAAAGTAAAAAATCCTGTGTAATTACACTATACTTTGAAAAACATTAGAAAACCAACAATACAATTTATTATGTAAATAAGTCTGAAACAACGTAGCCACAGGCCGAACGAAATAATGTGATCTTTAGATTTATTTGAAGTCCTTTATTATTGTTATCATTTATTTTAAAGCTAAAAACAAAGAAGAGGAATATTAAATTTTAACGACGGCCTTGCCAACGCAGTCTCCATTCAGCATGGCAATAAGTGTATCTGGGAGCTCTTCAAAGCCATTTGTGACCGTTTCCTTTGCTTTGATGATTCCTTTCTGCAGCCATTCTCTCAGATCTGTTAGCGCGGCGCACTGTTGCGACCAATTCCATTGTGTAAAGCTGAAAGCCTCAATGCGAACTGACACACGGGTTTTTGGTCTTCTCTGTCGATACGATTCCTGTCCATATGTACTTATTGATCCACAGATAGCAACACGGCCGAGCTCGTTCATGTTTTCCATGATAATAGAAGCTAGATTTCCTCCGACATTATCAAAAAAACAATCAATACCGTTAGGAGCACTGGTACTTAAACATTCCTTTACATTATCCATTTTGTAATTGAAAGCATAGTGAAAGCCCAATTCTTGTTTCAAAAACTGCACTTTCTGGTTTGAACCCGTGAAACCAATAACTGTACAGCCTTTAAGTTTTGCTATTTGTCCCACTAAGGACCCGACCGCGCCCGCCGCACTGGTAACGCAAATCACTTCATGTTGTTTTGGTTGACATATATCTAAAAGACCCAAATAGGCCGTTATTCCAGGCATACCTAAGGCTCCGATGGCTAATGATAAAGGTAGATACCCTATTTCGGGTTTGTAAGGTTTTATTTTGAACATATCGTCTGGATGGTCGGTGAGCAGTACGTGATCTCTCCAGCCCGAGTGGGAAAAGACATATGTATTAACTTGGTATTCGTCATTTTTGCTCTCAATCACTTTGCCGACTTGAAAGCCAAATTGCTCATATGGCGGCTCTTGTTCGCTGGCAAAGGACCTCATATACGGGTCTACGCTAATGTACTCGGCTTTTACGAGAAATTCCCCGGGCCTCGGTTTAGGGAGCTTTTCCTCTATTATTTCGAAATCTGAACGCTCCGGTAAGAAGTCTTTGAAGGCATTTTTCACAATGAACTTTCGGAGTTTTCTCATTTAGCAGAATTAGAACGTATTTGTGGGCGAGTTCACTCATCTGTGGAACAAATTATGGGTATTAAGTAGGATGTTTATAAGAATTACTGTTTGCGCCAAAAGTTAAAATTGTCAATATAAAGTTTGGTTTCACAAGCTTATTATAATGTATGTTATTATGAACAAGCAAAACAGTGTGCCAACTTCATGAATTTTCTGTTTTTGTTTTGATTTACAGTTAAGTGGCGTTGTATAAAAATATAAATGTAATACCAATAGCGCAAAATTATAATTATAATAAACCGCTATAAAAATGAATTGTTCATGTATTGTGTTGTCATACCTTCAGTGACACTACAATAATATAATTTTATTAACTTACCGGCGGTGCTCGTTCTTTAAATGTACTGTGTATGACATTAAGATATAAATAGGTACTATAAAATCTTACTACGTATCACATAGTCTTGAAAATGGATAAATTTTAAAATTACCTAATGTTAAATGTGTAAAAAATATACTGAAAGCTTTCGAGAAATACCAATGACGCTTATGTGTAGCTTTCAATGTGATTTGAAGTTTCATTTTGGTACAACTTAACACACTGTATCATGTATAAATGCAGATAATGAAAGCACAGATAGATTAAATGTAGCACTCTTTTGCAGAAAAGCCAAATTAATAGTATCCGACATGATGATAGCAATATGGCAATGGAAAATAAATTGTTTTGTACTCACCCGTCGTTTATTGGCGGGACATGACCGCTCAGTTTCGTGACTTGTGCGTGACTGACAGTTGTGGTAGCATTATTGACGTTTTCGCATCGCGTTTCGTTACTGCACGCGTAAAGTATGTTCTCCTTTTGTATCGTTTTCAAATAGCACATGGAAATAAAATGTTATTTGTATAATTAAGATTGAAGTGAGTATTATTACTTGTAGATTTTAGTTTTTTTTTTTTATTTCGATTATCTTTTATGACAGACTTTTCTATTAAATGTTTTTTTTTAAAGATGCTTAAACATTTTCAATTTTGACTGATAGAATATATTAATATTATGAACTACGAATATTGGTTTCCAAAATATACTTCAAGTTATTAATTTGAATTAATATATTCATATTACATAATTATAAAAAAACTCAAATTTAAAAAATAAAATGAATATGTAGTCGTTGTGAAAATAAATGTTTTAATTACTTAATTTATACTAAATAATGATTTCTATAATTTTTTTAATTTTAATTTTTCATACCTTTTTAAGATATTAAAAGAGTAATAAATCCATATAAAAATACAGTCGAATTGCAAACCTCCTTTTTCGAGTCAGTTAAAACATGCATAGTTTATATAAAAGGTAAATTTAATTGTGGAAAAATTAACAAAATAAAAAAGTTTTCTACCATATTAGTCCACAGTATGTATGTATATATTTATATTAAAATCGATATTGATTTAGCGACGTAATTGCAGTAGCGTACGTGGATACTCATAAAAAAATCAGGGGAATTAATAACCTTTTGTATATTGCTTATTAGTCAACGATACGCTTCATTATATTATATTAATTTATAATAATCGTATATTACCTGAAATAATTAAATTCGCTTCTATATTTAACATGCTCGTACCTACCTTTCATGTGAAAGAAAACAATGTGGAAATTTCTCGAAATGTAAGCAATATCTACATGGTTATACAAGCTTCGTTTTATATCAAATTAATTTACATATTATACTAACCGCAAGTTACGGTTTCACACATCCAATATAAGAAGCACTATGTAGTCGCTTCAAAGCCCATACCCATCTAGGGTTGCCACAATTTCATACTAAAATCCATTAAAATTTTATCGGTTGTAGAGTCAGTTGTACTCGTAAGTGGTATTTTTTTTATGGGTGATAATGGAATGGTAACCCTACCCGCGCTATCGGTATACACCGGCGGAGCACCAGTGAAAGATGATAGGTGAGGATGAAGTAGGTCAGTTAGCCCATCGTGACGAATTCAACAAGAATTGTCACGATGGTTTCCAGGGGGAACCACGTGGAGGTCGACCTGATATATTGCTAGCAATGGGGCTGTCAAACTTCATTGCTAACAACGTCTTTCCCCCCTTGTAAGTGGTATTAGGTATATTAAGGTGAAACTAAATGATAGCATTTATTAAATTGAATAACTCATTTCAAGAAATAACAGTCGATATCTCAAATTAATTTTTTAATAATATTGGTTTGTCTGATAAGTTTAAAAAATATTGTGAGATGGTCGAGCGATGGGCAGTGGCGTCCCTCAACCAATCATTATGAAATTTGTTATAAACGTACTGTACTAAATTGAAAAGGATATAGATTATTTTTTGTCCTGATCAGTAAACATATTCTACTCACGAGGACGAAGTTTTTTTTATGTAACTTAGAATGGCAAACAAGCTGATGGCCCACCTGATGGAAAGTGGTAACCGTCGCCTATAGACATGAGCAGTACCATTGACACAACAGAGTATTCTGTTTCGCACATGATACCCCCCATGCGTTGCCATTCCTGAGGACTCAGGTGTTAATCCTCTGTACCCTGTAAATTCACTGCCATATCCCACCCTTCAAACGGAAACACAGCCATGCAAACACAATTGCTGTAGTTATGGTTAAAAGCCAGTATTAATATGTAAAGTAAATGTATTTTTTTTATATGGGTGAAAATGGTATGGTAACTCCGCCTGCGCTAACGGGATTCACTGGCGGAGCACCAGTGAAGGGTGATAGATGAGAATGAAAACCAGGCCAGTTAGCCCATCATGATGAATTCATCAGGAATTAACCATGATAGTTTCCAGGGAGAACTGCGAGGAGGTCGACCTGATTGGGTATATTGCTAGCAATGGGATTCTCAGTCTCCATTACTAACAATCCCATTTCCCCCAAGTAAATGTATTATCTACAAATAATTTTCTTTATATATTTTTCGTGAACGCATCAACCCTAGTGCAGTCCAAGCGCTATTTCCACACCGTCACGTTTACCTTTACAGCGATGCCCAGTAAGGTAGTATCCCTTTATAGAATTTCGTGGGAATCAAGTAGGCTGGTTGCTTAGGGTTTAGCATGGCTATATAGTATCAATTCGATGTAATATATATTACGAAATAGCTACGTCAGTGTGTTCAAATAACAGTTTAAGATTGTAGACTGTGCACGTATTTAAGAAACAGTCGTTAGTGACCTACTTACTACTTATATAGACATCGTTTTACAGCAGTTAACCAATATATCTTAATAATTCAAATGAAATCGCTGTAAAAACAAGTGAATAAATAAATAATTTAAATATGTATTGCAGTTGTGTTTGCATGGCTGTGTTTTGGTTTGAAGGGTGGGATATGGTAGTGAATTTCGGACAATGGTGTCTATTATGAGTTGCTTAAGAATCAACTACCGGTCGTCTCATTGAAAAACGTATTCTAAAATTAATACATTGTGGTTTATTTTATCTGTTTATAATAAATTGCCCTCGTCTCTTTACAAACCGAATCAACGAGCAAGCGTCGCTGCTTCGAAGTCCGAGTACGATAAAAACTATAGAGTTATAAAAACTCTGGTTTCAACTTGAATATGTCAAAACAGCAAAAATATTATGAAAAACTTTACAAACTCGAACGTTTCTCAAACTGTTGGGCAGCTGGAAAACCGGTAAAATCCAGTAAAAACTAGTTGGGATCACTGCCAACTTTCCAAAGCGGCGGTTGTTAGCATGACGGAGCGTTTCCTAGTTTAACGGTGGCCAGATGAACATGGACGCAGTAAATCTGGCAGATAAGACCTCTGGACGCCACCGAAAACATATTTCTAACAATGTAAATAGAAAAATAAGTTGTAGAATATCATGATGTATGGTTTTGAGGTCTTTTGCTCGGCAATAGAATAATGGTTTTTTGATATGTGTGTTTCTAGATAATATTTGATCTACGGCGCATTTTATACAGAATAAAAAAAAAAACAAAAAAATGTTTGAATACATTGTACTATGTAAGAATTATTATATACTTATAATAATAAGCTATTACTCATACGCGATTTTTTTTTCATGGGATATATTCATGGAAAGAGATTAGAAGCAGCAATATAGCTTATCTCCCTTATTCTTAAAAACTAAAACTTTCTACTATTACTATTTCTACTACTACCAGAGGGAGACTTTGTACAAAAGTCGTTTGCTTGGGTACCTCTGACCTATTCGTGTTGCAACCGTGAAGCAGTTGTGTTTGCATGGCTATGTTTCGGTTTGAAGGGTGGGATATGGCGTGAATTTACAGGGTACGGAGGAATAACACCTGAGTCCTCAGGAATGGCAACGCATGGGGGGTATCATGGGCGAAACAGAATACTCTGTTGTGTCAATGGTACTGCTCATGTGTATAGGCGACGGTTATCACTTTCCATTAGGTGGGCCGTCAGCTTGTTTGCCATTCTAAGTTGTATAAAAAAATCTATTTCTACTACTACTATTACTATTAGGTGCAGCTAGGAGTTCTATGATACATATATGAACAGTTATTTCACTTTAATATAATACACAATCAATAATATATTTTTTATTATTATCTAATTACTGGTTGCTATTGATTACATTATTGACATATTGCATATTGCAAGAGGAGCATATTGCAACTCAAGGAGGTAAGTACTTACCTAGTTTTTGTGGTCCTCGATTGAATGTGGGGATGATTCAACTATATTCGATATTTAGTTTCTTTAGCGTCTGTAGTATTACTACGTAAAAGGAAAATACTTATTCTATACGTATTTTATGTTTTTCGTGTGATTATTATTATTCAACATTGACAACGTCACAATTTATCATTCAATATATACCCACTACAAATTTATTATATTTATTTTATTTTTATTTATTACACAATACACTTTAAGCACACCACTGTGTTGGTCAAGTTTTCAAACATTATTGTTATTATTAGGACCCCGCGGGTTGGCGAGGCGCGTGCTGAAAATCAGCGCTGTAGTGTCCCTGACACTACAGCATAATGCTGAGCACGCGCCTCATTTTGCAGGTATGGCGACGCACGCACACACACACTCATTTTTGATGAAATTGTTATAATACGAATCGTTTTATTTTTCTTTTTTAATTTTATATATATATTTTTTTCTTTATAAATATTTTTTTGTGTTGTTTCTTTATTATAATTCTTAATATATGGATTTTTTTTTAACCCCTGTGTGGGTGCCGTCGCATATTTCTTGTAAAATAAAGTTTTTTTTCTTTCTTTCTTTCTTTACATTGTTTTATCACTTACAAATTAAGAATTTAGCACAAAAGAAAGAGACAAAATAGTTCAATAGCTACAATAGGTTTATGAGAGGTTTGACGTTTTTACGAATAAGGACTTATATGTTTAACTAGCTGATGCCCGTGACTTTGTCCGCCTGGTATTTGTTATTCTTTCATTAACATTTTTAACCCACTTATTGTAGTGAACTATGTCGGGGAATACTGAACCAAAATTAACAAAAAGCGTGTCGTTCTCGGTTGTGTACGTAGCTGTAGGTATAAGTTACTATAGTTTTTTAACTATCCCACGGAAACTCTTTAAATTTCCGTGATTAACAGTGGCTAAAATGTTGACCGGGGATGTGAGGTATCACCACTCACAATTTTATTTAAAT